ATGGGTGAAGTGAGAGGGTGCTCACATAGCACACTGAAACACACCCTTCTGGTTCATTCCTGTTTTTATTTTATTTTATTTTATTATTTTATTTATACATACATACATACATACATATATATATACACACACACACATACATACATACAGTGGTACCTCGGTTCACGAACGCTTCTGTTCACGAACAATTCGGTTCACGAACAGCTCTGTTCGCAAAATTTTGCCTCCGTTTGCGAACGCCGGATCGGGTTACGAACAGGATCTGCGTGACACGTGGTTGCAGCTTCCTGTAAGGAGGGGGACTCTCCCTCCAAGCAGTAACCGCCTCCCCACCCGCCTTCCTGTCCTCCACGCCAGAAGTCACGTCGAGCAAGGATAGCGTTCTCTCTCTTCGTGCTGTACTTTGTGTCATATTTTTGCGGTTAAAAAAACAACAACACATATGGTTCAGAACGGATTAACCGTAATTACATTGAACCTTATGGGGAAATTTGATTCGGGACGCAATCAAAAATCAGTTGGCGACCAAATTTGGAGGGGTCAGAATGGATTAACCGTATTTACATTGAACCTTATGGGGAAATTTGATTCGGGACGCAATCAAAAATCAGTTGGCGACCAAATTTGGAGGGGTCAGAATGGATTAACCGTATTTACATTGAACCTTATGGAAAAATTTGATTCGGTTCACGACCAATTCGGTATGCGACCAGAGTTGTATATATATACAACTGTATATATATATAATAAAATAAAATAAAATAAAATATGTGTTCACTGACATATTAACCAGGCTTTTTTTTTTTTTTAATAGCAGTTTGCCAGTCTAGGCCAGTACATCTGGGTCCAAAAATATCCCACCCAACAGGTCAGCAGGTCTGAAGGGGGTGGCAGGAGGGAATTCATATGGTTCATTGACAGAGGTCTCTCCTGCTTCATCCTAGGCCTGCTCTCTGCCCCACTGGTCTGTCAGCTGGACTATCTGGAACACAGATTTACTGGTGTTTCAGAAGACTTGTAGGTCTGTGTTCACAAGTAGCCTGAGTGATACATCACAGGATCAGCAAAGACATTTGCATGGAGCACTGGGGGCACTCCAGCCTCAATCTTGGGACCTCTGCAGCACTTGAGACCTGTCACTCAGACTAGAGGGGAAAGCTGGCAGAACTTTTATCAATTTTACCTCCAATCCCAAATATCTCAAATCAATTAAGTAATGCAAGGAAACACAGTACTGGTACTGAGTAAACACGGCAGGCAGCACCTGGGAGTGTTTTGTGGAGTATGCAAAATTGCAGTGCAATAGGCAAATTAGTCCTGCCAAGCTAATAAAAACAGAAGTTGGCTCACATTCCCAGTTTAAATCAACTTTTTGTGAAGAGAGCACTAATTCTGTTTTGTTTTTAAAGAAAAGATTTACCACTCTTTTGAAAGACCACTAAAAGGTATTTAAAGACAGGTCTAAATGCTTCCTGAAGAATGCTAGATTTGTGTATGTGAGGAGTTCATGTAATTCCTTAATGGTGCTCTGCAAAGTGATGGGCAGGCATTACATGGACAGATGCTTCTGTGAAAACCAGGTGCCCGATCTCCCCTGCAGCCAGTGCCAAGCTGGACATGGAGGACAGTACCCTGCAATCAGAGGGGAGAGAGCATGACTGCAACAGCCCAAACTGAACATTGGGATTTGGACAGACTCCAGTCCCTGATCCCAACATCACCAACTTCATTGTACAGCAAGGGTTGCATTAGCAGAAGAGGAAAAACACAGCTTTAAAACCAACAGCTAGAGGTTGTAAACTGCCTCTGTGGTGGGCTGAGGATAAAAGAAGACCTGCATCATGAGGACATGTCATCTAAAGACATTGGTGGAGTGTGAGGATAAGCCCCCAAAGAAGCATTTCTTCACAAGTGCATAATTAACCTGTGAAATTCTTTACCATGAGACATAGTGACTTGACTGGCTCTAAAAGGGGACTGGATACATTTGTGGAGGACAAGGATTATGGTCTTGAAGTCTTTGTGCCACTTACTGGCTGACCTCAAGTGCTTGAGCAACAACATGGCATGGTAAGTGCATATGTTTCCATCCTTCAAAGTACAAGAAGCCTTTCTCTGCATTCTGTATAGCGTTAGATATTTATTTTCATAACTTAGCCTGAACACAGGACAATTCAGATTTACAGTTTGCATTTATAGTGAATACCAGACCCTTTCAAACATCTTTTATATTCTTTAAAAGCTTTTAGAGTGGACCAAATGGCTAAGTCAGCATGAGTGAAACTAGGCCTAATGATTATGTGAAAAAGAATTAATCAGTTTTAAAGCTCAAGTTAAAAGAACAGCTTTACTTAAATTAATGTAGGAGAATAAAAAAAATATACTTGTCTTAGAGGGGGAAAAACTGTTTTCTTCTAAACCCGGTATCAGATATAATGTTTCTGGCAGAATGTAATAAGAATTTTGTGAAAGACTTGTGACTCTGGAGATTCGAGGAGGGGAGCAAATAAAGAGTAAACTTTTCTTGTTCATGTAGGCACAGGAGCCATTCATAAACATTATTGAAGATTCAGGACCTCTACAATAATGGTGAATAGGAATAATTGTTTTCCAGAGAACATTTCAACATCACGCCCTGCCCACTCCCCAAACCCTACAAAGCAGTCTGAAATCAGTTTATTGGGTTGTTTTCAACCTCGGAATGTTGAGAACACCTGGAGAACACAAGCACTGAACAAATCAAAATTTTCAAATTCAAAACAATTCAAATTCAAATTCAAAAATCAAAACCAACCACTTTTTGTAAGAACCAGTGCCCCTAATGCCTTTATTTCTGCTCCATAAAGGGAAATAAAATAAATCATTAATGCCAATCCATATTTTAACTAAAGGCTGTATTTGTCTACTTCCAAAGGAAAAAAAATCTGAGCATAAGTAATGGGGTAAAGCTGTCTGGCTACTAAATCATTATCCCTTCTATTTATAAATACAGGTAGCCCTCACTTAACAACCATTCGTTTAGATGACTGAAGAGGGAAATTGAGGGTGTTAAATTCTAAGCAAAATGCATACTTTTTAGGGTGCATGATTTATAATTCATTGTATTAGAGCGAACAGATCTGACCTGCAGAAATCCAAATGACCATGAAAACTAACCCTAGAGGTTGGTTTATCTAGTGTTTGATTAGAGTTTGCAACCAAGATCTGATAGTCAGATCAACTTCAGGAGAAATCTGGGAATAGGTGAACTGGAGCACATGGGGCACTCATGTTGCACCCCAACAATAATTCCTTAAAGTTGCATCTTTTCCTGGTATGAGCTCTGAAAAATGCTTTCCTTTTCAACTCGAGATCATTGCACAAATCTACTGTTTCACATCACTGCTATTTCCACTAATTGTGTATAACCAAAATCTTCTAATCCCCTTTTCACACAACAGAAAAAGACCCTAGCATTTTGTACCCCTGCCAAAGAGAAAGGAAAACCAGACAAATAATGTCACTCCTGCTAACCCCAATACAAAGGCATCCTTAAAGAACCTGGAGGAGGATTTGAGGCTCAGGAATCTGGAAGTGGAACAAGGCAAGAGTTTTCTCCAATGGGAAAACTTTATCTACAAGGTGTATAACCTTTGCAAACATAAAGATCCCTTTTTTTCCAGCAGCATCAGCCAGAGAGGGTCAAAATAGGCAAGATGGCACCACAATGCTGCAATTAAAGCCCCACCCCTTTATAATGCATAAAATATTGACACACATACAAAAGGGACAGGCCAGCAACTGACAGCATGCCTGTTTTGACCTCCTCTGCATGTGCCACTGCTTTTTTCCTTCCTTTTTACAATGTGTTACAGTGCAGTGAAATCAGAAATAAACTTGCTCATCGGCTGAATTCAGCCAACTTCTTGGGAACACAGAACTGGCAGAGTCCTAGGGAAAAGCTTTGGGTTAACTAGATGAAAAGCATTTTCATTGGATTTATGCTAAACACAATCTATACGCAGGCAGGAAGTTAGGAAAAAAAACAGGAGCTTGAAATTCTTAGAAACGGCAGTAATTATACTGTATAAATGTGTATCTTGTCTAGTACCATTTTACTTCTATTGGTGTGTTTGTGAGATTACTCTTAGAGTCTAACCAGTACAGGGAAAGCGGTTGGCATCAAATATGCATAAGGGAAAACACTGAATGTATATACTGTCTCCTTGTTATGCTTGTTTTGTCACTTTGTCAGAAAGATGAGGGGTGTGCACACATGTATTCGGTAATACTTTTATATAGTATGTACTGATATCGAAGCATAGTACAAGACCTGTTTTTCCCCATCATAAGAATGCTGTGAGGTAGGCTGGGCTGAGAGTGAGCGAATGGCCCAAACCGCCCTGCAGATGCACTTTACCAGTTAGCTTCCAGATGTAATTCAAGCTGCTGTCACCTATAAAGCCCTTTACGGCTTGAGGCCTGGAAGGTACCACCATTTCCCCATTGTTTTTGCCTGTCCGGTATGATCTGGCAGGATTGGCACGTTCCAGGTCCCATCAGCAAAGTGGATCATCTTATGGGACCCTGGAGCCACTCTTACCTTCTAGAATAGCTGCTGAAGCACACACGTATTGTAAGAAAGCCTTGAAGACCTGGGTTTTTCAGCAGACTCTGGGGCAGGGAGATTGGTGACTGCACTTGTGATGCATTTGTACATTGTACTGTTATGTTGGTTTCCAGAGGCGATTTATCTTTTTTCTTATTGTTAGATTTGTTTTTAATCTATTTATATCATTGTACACAATCTAGAGTTGGTTTGGTAGCTGAGGCAGTCAGTAATTCAGACTTGAACTTGGATCTCCCCACTCCTGCTCCAACTCCTCAATCCCCACACTATGGCGGCTCTCACAATTATTCTTCATGGCTATGGTGAGGCCCTTAATTCAGCAAGATGAAATGTGTCATTTGATGCACAAAATATTTAAGACACTGTATGCTGTCTATTTTGCATTGTGATATTTAATAAATTAAAACGTCACACAGTATTGGAACATGAGCATCTACCCAGACACCTTCAATATCTTAAGTCTCCTGGGCCTTTACAGAAGGGGAAAAAGAGGAAAAAGTCATATAAGATCTTCAGAATTATTTCTTCCAGTCTATGTTGATCCTAACACTTGTCCAGATAGTGGTTTTCTCTAGGTATTTAAACCTCATGCAGGGGTGTTTACGATGGTTCCCTACTTGAATACCTCTTTGGAAGTAGTAGTTCACCAGTTATAGGCATTCCATCTTGGCTTCTGCCACAGCTTCCTCTATGGTTTGGCCTCTAAAATGAAGGTGTGTGGTCTGTGGTTTATGGGCAGTGTGCTATCCACCCTGAGTAAGGCTTTCAGAGCCACCAAGGGTTGTTGTTGGATGTTGACAGTGGCACTAGCATATCCCAGCACTGTCAACACTTCATGTCAAAGGATTGTCAAGTGCTTCATACTTCTTTGCTGTCCTTTTTCTGTGCCCTCTCCTTGCTGAGAGCCAAACCTTTGAAGCATAGCACAGTAAACCAAGAGACCACAAAATGTACCTGTTCCCTCACCCATTTCCTAATCCTCTATTGCAGCCAAGCCTATCAAGTACCAATTTCTTCAAGCAGCATCACCATAACACCTTTCCACTGCTGCTACCGCTGCACCCCTCTTCTTCCTTACTTTCCACGGAGTAATGCCTCTTTCCCTTTACTTGGCTGCTTATTGAGCAGTCAGGTGACTTTTATGGCAGCTTCCAAGTCACTTGTTTGCTCCCTCAGCAAGTCCTTGTTTGCTCACTCAGCAAATGAAATTTCCAAAACATCTGCACAGCTTTACACTTGCCTCCCCTGACCTTTCTAACACTGATGAACTGCTGGATTCTAACAGCAAGCAATAAGCTTGTAAAACTACTGTGCTGACCACTCCCCCCGCACCCCTCCCCCCCCCATTCTGGCTTTCTATTTCAGGCAATGCTTCCAGCCAACTTCCTGGTTCCTTCTAACTCGGGATGCCAAAGCATCCTTCAGCATTTCCTCTGGACTTCTTAGTCAAGGTCAGGCAGCCTCCAAGAAATTGAGCTGCTGCTGCTGGTACTATCCCTGCTATAGGAACAATAAGAAAAATGGATGTGTAAGTTAACAGATATACACTTGTTGTGGAAATGGGCAGGATGGCAATCAAAGTATATTACCAAAAATCAACCTATTTTACAGGTGAAATGGATAACAAATCACTAATATTTCCTTTGCCTTGTAGGAAATAAAGGTAGCCACTTGTTCCTGGACAAGCCCATTTCCCCCATGCATATTCCAGCCACTTTCTTTGTAAAGCCCCCAACATATTCTATATGCCTAAAGGAAGCCTTTGACTTGAAAAGGTTGTACATTCCTGATGTACAACTTATTGTTCTCTTTAATGCGTTCTGAGGAAAGGCAGGTATAGCCTTTTTCATTCTCCTTTCAGATTATTTTTATCTGGAATTCCTGTGGTTTTTTCTTTTCTTGTCTTCATTTATACCTACTCCTTCCCCTGTCTTTCTGCTTCGCTCTGAATATTTCTTTCAGTTGGTGATAAGCAGATGGTAATGGATTAGCTAAGTATGGAAGGGAGAGGAAGACAAGACACATTCATTATTTACAGCTGCTTCTTTTGCCTTGTAATTCTGAGATGACTCAGAGGAATGACAGTGAACTGATTACATTTTAGAAGGCAAACTGTTTCCTGATACTGCAGAGCTCATTCTCTTTGTGGGCCTGTTATTCACAATTCAATACTCTGCAAAAACAATAACAAAATAAAAACGTTAGATATAGACATATTACATTTATCATCATCATCAGTGTTAGCCATCTTGGATGACAATACAAACAGTATAATAACTTTATAATGTTAAACTTAATGTTAAGAGCAGTTTGATAGTGAGAAAAGGTGTGAGAAGTTAATGAAAATGTGGTGAGCTACTCTTCCTTGGAACTATTCAGGCAATCACTGACAAGCATTTACCAGGGATGCTCTAATTTGGATTTCTACACAGTGCAGGCAGTTGGACTTCCAACTCTATGATTATATGCACTGTATGGTAGAATTGCATCTGCCACAGATATTGTCATTTTAATACTCCTCTTTTCTAGCATGCAAAGACTAAATATAGTTTTATACATGATACATTTATCCATGTACAACATCATCTATAATTCATATAAAGATGTCTTTTCACCAAGTGAACTTGACTTACACTCATATTTTTCCAGGAAGGTCACAACAGTATTGTATGCAGGTACTGATTAGACTTATAAGTACCTTACATTCTATAAGGAGACTGTAATATTTACTGTATTTATCAGTGTATAACACACACTTCCCCCCCTAAAATTCGGGGCTGAAGTTATACGCTGATATGCATGTTATACGCCAATGTATAAGCCCTGCAGCTTCTCACCTCAAGCAGCAGGGCTGGGAGAGCGGAGCCTTCATTTGAGCCAGGGCCATAATTAGAGCTGAAACCGCATACTTCCCATCTCCTCCTCCGATTGATGGCACTTCAACCATGCCTCCTCTGTTTGCAGTCTTTAGTAACATCACCTGCGCGTCTGGCACTGTTGCTTTGCTCTGACTCATTACTACACACCGGACCACACAGGTGATGTCACTAAAGTACCGCAAGCTTCCCTCCTCTCTTTGCAGCGTTCCGCCATGTAGTAATGAGCCAGAGCAAAGCGCCGGTGCTTTGCTCTGACACACTGAGTGCCGGACCGTGTGGGTGATGTGAAACGCTACTTGTTTCAGTTTCTTAAAACTACCGGTATCCCTAATGGAATCAAGACAAAAGCGTTTAGCATATACAGCTGGTTTCAAGTTAAAGGCTGTGGAATATGCCAAGCAACATGGAAACAGGGCTGCAGCAAGGCATTTTGGAGAGCCACCAACAGAATGCACAGTATGAGAGTGGTGAAAAAATGAAGAAAAAACCAAGACATTATCAAAAACAAAATGCAATTTCTGCAGCAGTATTGCCAAATGGCCAAAATTGGAAGAACAGGTAAAAGAATTTGTACTTAATCAAAGAAAAGCTGGCACTGCTTTATCAACAAAAATTATAATTATTCAAGCAGTGAAAATCAGCAAAGAGTTACAAATACATGATTTCAAAAAGACAGCATCTCGGTGCCAAAGATTTATGAAGAGGCATGAGCTTCAGATGCGAACAAGAACCAGGATTGCCCAGCGTA